CAGGTTAAAGATTAAATAAGGTTGTAAACATAAATACTATTAATATTTGCAAGTGTTTTTTTTACAATATGACCATTAGTTGAATGGTGGCTTTAGTTTGGTCTTAACTCAAGTGGAATGAATGCATTCTTTCGATCTTGGCTTATCGATGTGATTTTTCAAGTTGAGGTAGATTTTTCAAACCAACATTGCTTAAAGTGGAGCTAAATTTTGAACCAAACTTTCTAACAAAAGCGCTTGAATTGAAAGAATACTTATTTCTTAGTTTCCGTCCTTTCGCTCGAATGCTAACATTTTAAAAGTATTTTTTATCAATTTTCAACATATATGCGTTCATTTTAAAGTTATGTATTAAAATACATAAGTAATATATAACCTAACACAATCTACCTTACCTTAATTTTAACATTTCGGTAGTTATTCAAAACAAATAAACCATATCTTATAATATTCTTGCTTGAGTTAAACTTTGTTTTTAATTCTTTATATACCATATTTTTTACAAGGTAAACAAAATCTCATATAAATCTCGTTGACTTGAAATGGATGGACTTAAATCGTAAAGGGAAAAGCAAATCGGTTTACGAGTGCAAATATTCATTTCGTTGAACATCTCACGCTTCGGTTGGAGTGTGGAATGTCGACCGTTCTAGAGATTTGCCTAATCGGCCGCCATCGCCGCACGAGAGGTTAGCGTGTTAACGCATTGACATACATCGCCACCTGAATACATAATCTGTTAAATCTGTACAATACATTTGATTATATTTTACAACAATCAATTTTTATTTAAAAATCTATTATGCATGAAAGTCGCGCAGCGCCTGTGGAAATAAAACAAGCAAGAATGACGTCTTGTCTAATCTGGAAAAGGAACAACAGGAGGAAACAATTTAACGGATGTAATATTATGCTAATTTTATTTTAAATAATGAATATCATATTATGTGGTAAATACTAGAACAGTTCAGGAAGAAAAGGTACAAATTGTAAGGTGCGCTCTCGTTACGCTATGAAACGCCGTATAATATAACATTAAATTACTAAGCAAAAGGAAACGGAGCGGGTCCGCATGTTTACACGGAGTTTTCTCATTATTCTTAACAAAACAAAACAACACTTGTCTTATTTAGAGTGGCCAAACTTTTTCCATTTTCCTCTTTAGTTTTTTTTGTTAAATTATGGCAAAAAAAAATTAAGTAATTACTTGACGTGGTAGCAAAAATTTAAATTAATTATTATGATATAATTTTGAATATTTGAAGTAAAATTATAGTTATTTTGTCTATAGTTTTTGTCTGTTATTAGTTCGTGTTTTATTTAAATTTAGGACTCAAGTTTTATTTTAAACTTCATTTGGTTGTTTACAATTCTCGTAATAGGTAATTTTTTTAATGTGAATGACAACACTGAGGAAAATTACTACAAAAAGGGCGTCCACGGTCTTTTATTTCGTCTGAGTTTTGTGCTCCGCAATACGTATCTACGATTTTTAATTACTTATAGAACTTTAGCGTTATAATCAATTCCTTTGTATTTAACATACTGTAAATACAGTAACATAATGTGGAAGAAAAATCCAATCGCTATTAGACATTTCTTTTAAGAAGATAGACCCATGGTTACACTATTTCCGATCCCAAGAATTCACGTTACAGACTGAAAACTTCGCTAAGTTATTCTTGTGCGCGAATTAATGTAAAAACTATGAGACAGTTCTCTTTGACATTATCAGTTGTAGCAAATTGTGCAACTAGTAACTTTTGTAACTCTTCTATCGTTTATTAAATATAACTTTTACTAGATAAAAAAATCTCTCTTACGAATACAAATATTAATTCAACCATTGTTTATTCTTAACGTAGATTTCCACTGATGACACGTGTATATAAAAATATTGGTATGTCCCTTTTTAATGACTGACGGATGTTTAGTTTTGGTTATGGAAACCAATGACACGTACGATTCCGTTCCTTTTATATATATTTTTTTAATTCCGCGCGGACGATGCCACGGTTAACTGCCACTGAGCTATTAAGTTTAAATAAATACATAAAATTAGTCCCTTTTTGTTCCATACAAGCGTATCTTGACATAAATCTTGATACCGTAATAAATAACGCCTCAAATGCCACATAATATGGGCGCTAATATCCGCACGCTTAACAAACAGCCAATATGGAAATGAAGAAAATTTATTGAGTGCTTGTGAAACTAGGCCGCGATAACGTAGTCAACATTTACATTCATATAATTGCGTTTATTCCAGAATATTCCATATTCTCGTATAACTATAAAGTAAAAGGTATTATTTTTATTCATTTCTTCATATTTTTCATTCGTATTTTTAAGAAATATGTACTAGATCGATAGTGTGTTCACTGTAGTGTAGCTAAAATTGACTTTCAACTTTTTATATCAAGAAATCTTAGAATTTCGTTTTAAATGTAGAAAAACTAAATGTAAAGCGAATAGAGATTGTTGTATATACGAAGTTAAACATAATTAAATTTACTTACGTAATAAAAACACAACAATAAAAGAAAATTGTAAATATAAAGCTTAATTGAAAGGCTTTCATTAAAGAAAAAAATTAAACATATAGGTAATATTGTGGAATAGCAACACATGGACGTATAGTATAAAAAATACGTAAGAATTGATAACCTCCTCCTTTTTGAAGTCAGCTAAAAATAAGTCGTATTTCTCAGCGTGTCCATCACATTTAAATAACTAATTTTTATATTTCTTCTAAAGAGAACAATAAAAATATGTGAAGACAAAAATCTTGAATATTTTTAGGTTATGTTTACATTTGCGATAGCTTACGAATCCGTAGATAGTAAAATATGGCGGCAAAAAGTCTAACCTCTTTACATCTTGGTTTTTGATAACAATACAAAATGTGGCAGTAAGCGATAGAACCCCTAATTTATTCTGAAAAATCTTAAACAAATAAAATAGCATAAAATAAAAAGATTTGTTCATATATCTGTACACACGTAATTAGTACGCGCTTTTATGTCTTTCAGCTTTATTGCCGAAGCACAATAATTGTAAAATATAGACAAGAAAATAGATAAATTTCTTACTTTCGAGGGTATTCGTGACATTATTTTGTTACTTTTTAATGCATTTTGTTTGAGAATGTTTTTTTTGTTTGGGATTATTTTTTAAATATCAGCTTTTTTTTCTTTTTGCTGTTACATTAAAAAAAAACAAATATACCTAAATTAAAACGAAGTTGGCGATTTATTCGGGCCTTTTCATTTAACTGATTTCCGTAACTTTCACGAGCTTACGTGTATATATTAAATTAAATTAAACATTCCTGGAATCCTTTCCAGAGCCATACTTTATAATCATGTACATAATAAAATTATTCACTCGACTTCAATCGATAAACAGAGGTTACACAGATAAACAAAAATTATTTTTTTTAACAAAATCTTTTTTTACGCGTACAACTACAAGAAAAAACAAAGTGTTAACAAATAAATTATTTCATTAGGTCCTTCGTACACAAGGCAACGTAAATATTTAAAACCCGTTGATTTACCTCACTGTGCACTGGGTCCGCCTCTAGCAATGTGCATTTGTTCCCAAGTTCAAAAATATATGGAACTGGCACTGACAATCGAAAGTTGTCAGTTCTATACATTATTGAACTTCGTTATGGATCGTAAGATCGTCGCGAAAAAGTCGCTGTGATTTTCGATTCAAAGTTCTGCTGTGTACGGAGCGCGCGTAACGCGTTACTCACGACGCAAGGGTACCATAATGGTTTTGAAGATTTACGTTGCCATGTGTATTAAGGCTGAGACGCTTTCATTTTGGGCTCATTGGATGAGTGACATTTCTAAGATTCAATGAATCCACTTTTAAATTGTAGCCATTTAAGAACTATTTGTAGTTTTCGAGATATTGTGAAACATTACACAAGTTCCTACCACTAGCATGAGATTTTAATCAGATTAAGTTTATCAGGCCAAGCTACAAAGTGTACAAACTAAGCTAATTAAAATTGAGTTTCTAAACGACTATACGTTTAATTTTTAAAGCAATTTTTTTTTATCTTTATTATTCTTTTTATTTATTTCAAAAGCGGAATTCTGTAAAAAATTGTGTTTTTTTATTACGAATTTAATCAGTGATGTTAAAGATGAACTATATAAATCCTAAGGGAACCATACATTTCGGGATTAAAGGTAGCCTTAGTTTTCGAAACTATGTCCCTTTAATCCAGATCTGTTAAGTTTTGAAGTTACCCGCTAACAAAGGCCCTTTAAACAATCCATCAACATTCTTTAATATAACTGTATATAATCCATATACCAATCGATTGTAAAGTTACATTTTAAAACACAACCAAAGGTGATCCCGTACTACAAATACGATTGTCACATAAAATATTCCATTTCGTACAGTAAAACAATCATGTAAATTTATATTCAGTGTAATACACATGCGGTTCAGTGTACACTTAATCCGTTTTCAATTTATATTAAAATGTTCGTAGTAAACTTGTTTCACACAACGCTGATGCGTTGAATTTGATATTCTCTAAAGATAATTTTGATGGAACCGCGTTGGAGCTGGAATTAGTTGCCGAGTATTTCACGAAGCTATGTATTATAAACCACTGTGTTTTGTTACAAGTACCAAAAGCAAGATAAAATTCAGCAAAATAAGGTTGGTTTTGGTTTTATTTCTTTTCTATTATGTCAGATAAATAATATTAAATTCAAACATTCGTTTTTAAGATGTTAAATTATTAACGTAAAACGTTAATTAATACCTATACCATATTTACTGTTTAAAACGAACAGGCCAGTCGAATGCATAGAATCTAATTCCTATTGGACTGATCAATTGGTAGCCTAATCGGTCCAACGGTAAACACTAGAACAGGCAGATTTACTGTCGGTGTACTGTTAACATTAGAAATTCATTTATTCAAAACGATGTACTTATTCATTTACATTTCGAAATTGGACAATATGAACGATGAGGTAAACTTAAACAGAATCAATCAGTTTCAATGATGAAAAGGGAATTATAATTAGAAATTTCAGTACATAGAATATTAATTTAGATATTTGATATTGAAAATTAAAGCACGGATTTTGAACACTATATAAGTTCTATTGGGAATAAAAAGCGTTGACCTTGAATGCGTAGAAGTCGATTTTTGGGTGTCACCGGTAAGAAGAGTGAAGTGAGGTGCGGGTTGTCCGCGCGGGCGCTTCGTATTGGTTCCTCAGTCCATTCCATCGTCCCGCTAACCCCCGCACTTCTTGACTCTTACGGGTACAATGGCGTGCATAGTGTTTTGTTTCGAACGATTGGTGTTATTACTTTTTTTTTAACTAAGTTCCATACTTGATTATTAAAGTTCGAATAGCTTGAATACATTGTTTCACAATTTTATATATGTAATAAATGTTTACAACGAAAAGCTTTTATTCAACACAGCTAGACTAAAAAAAAAGTTGTCTAATTATGAGCGCGATTGTACACATGCGCGAGTCTCCCCACTACTTTTGCTTACAGCTAGTAACACGTTAAACGCCATAGTAGAAATAGAAAAAATAACTAAAAAACTGTTTGCTGGAAATAGATGCGTGATGTCGAATCTTCAAAATATATTTAAATTAGGATTCAATCAGAAGCAGGGTTCCACAGATAAAAAACCTTCATGATGTCACGGTCACCGGTGACAAGAGTAGTGTTTAACGTGTTAACTCATAACGGGACCTATAAAAGGTTTTAAAACAGACAAACACAGATAGACAAAAGACATTCAACAGTAGTGACGAGACAACATTAACTTTAATTTTTGTTTAATTGAACACGATTTGTTACCATTATGTTAACATGAGACAGCCGCTTATGAAATGCCGTTAAGCTACAAACGTTTGCGATACTGATGACTATAATTAAAGTTATAAAGCATTTTGTTGAATGTCCACTCTACACCTAAGTTATTCGAAGCTCTTTAATACAGGCTGATATGATGAGCAACCAAGGATTGCCTCTATAGCAAGTTATTGTGTTATTCATTTAGTTCACAATTTTTGGCAGTGTAATATGCAAAGTGCGATTACAAGTTCAGGCAATTCTCGTCCTTCGGGTTTAACGCGCGTGTGAACTTTTCCTTTTGAATCTTTACAAACTATATCGTTTCAGTTCATAATAAATTGATGAATTAAGTGTTTGTTATAATGCAGTATAGTTGTTTTTACTTTGTAATTTGATAAATGGAAATATTTTTATAAGCGAATAACGCCCACAAAATTCTATAGAAATTGTATCCATACACGTTGAAACGTTTAATTTGACAAACATTATAGTGTTATTGAAGGTTACGATAATATTTTATGTGACTATTTTATTGAGGGTTCAGTAGTTGTTTCTCTACTGGTCAAAAGTAAAAAATAGAACTAAATTAAACAAAATATTTGCAACATTCTTGTATGTTAGAAAATGAAAATTTTATAACGTTAATTTTTTTTCTATTTTTATATCTAGATTTGAAATTTTTGTTTGATACATTACTGATCCCTAATTCCTTTGACAATATTTTTCATATATAAATTCAATCGAAAAAAATATATGTTCATTTTCTGAACTTTATTATACGATATAACGTGTACAGATAAATATTAAAAAAATGAATCATTTAAATAAATATCCTAAAGAATACGCGAAACCAATTAAAATATCTTTCAGTTTGCTTAACAATTTAAATATAACATTTTTTCACGATTCACCCAAGTGGAAGAAAATCTTAAGATTCTTAACTCTGGTACCGCCAATGATATTCCATATTGTAACAATGTCATTATACGCGAGTAAGATATTCAAGAATGAACTGAATATATCAGAACTGGCGAATATTGTGCCTGTATATTTAATTTGTATACAGTGTAAGTTATATTATTTTTAGTTTGTCCCTTATCATATTAGTATAATTATAGAAAAATTCTGGTTTTAATAAATGTTACAGAAAAAATAAATCTACGACACCCGTTGGTTTCTGATACCAAAATCTCTGTATAAAATATATCGTGCCCGTCATTATCCGTGACAAAACAGAGATAAAAAAATGTTTTACGTTTGTTTGTTTACGAGGGTTTTGGTTTCAGAAAACCACGGTGGTTAAATTTCTTTAATATTTAAACATTCTATCTACTTTCTTTTTACTCGAGATTACATTAAAAATCTTCTAGGATAATTAATCAATTTAATTTTAATAGTATTATATATATATTCCAAACTGATATATAAACACGGCTAAACACTCACGTATATTCCATTTAGTGAGCGACGGGTCGCGTCCGCGAAATAATACCAGTACCACTCATCCTGATGAAGGGCCCCCGATGGGCTCGAAACTAGTTGTTGCCGCCACCGGACGAATATACGTGAGTGTTTAGCCTTGTTTATATATCAGTTTAGTATAATGTCTTACGAAAGTTTGAATAATTTAGTATATATTCCTGCAGCTCTTCTGCGTGTAGCAATCATGATTTATAAGAAGAAAGAAATTGAAAGTTTCATTGACGATTTGGGTGTGATTTGGAGGACGTCCGACAGAAACTTTATGCAAATTGAGAAGAAGAGACGTTTAGTTAAACAGTTGAAGTTTTGGCAGACGAGTAAACATTTTAATTATTCGTTTTTTAAGTTTATTATTATATTTTTTTCTTATTTTTAAGGTAAAAATCGTACAAGAGTAAAATTAAAGGTAAATGAGTAGTAGTAACCTGAAATTAGTAATACAGTTTTTTTTTTATGAGAAAAAGAACTTATCCATTTATGTTATGGCCTAGGTTAAGAACTGTGCTCCTGATACTGGAATAAATTAAACAAATATACTTTAGCATGAAAACACAAGAATGCTGAAAATTTTTGATCTAGAACAATACGTTTTATGTATAATCTGAGTGAGATTTTGTATTAAAACCTACATTACTTTTCTATTAATATTGTTTTAATTCCAGTGTATTATTGGCTTGATATATCTGGCTCTTGGGAATACGTTTTCGCGCCATTAGTTTCGACAATCATAAGGATTTTTATATTAAAACAGAATTTTACATTTGCACTACCAGTTGGTTGTGTCTATCCATTCGATCCAACTTCTGATTGGTTTAAATATTTGGCAACATATGCATTCCAAGCGATAAACGGTAAATATAATTTAATATAATTTAAATAACAATTTCTTTTTTTATCAATTAAACAGAACAGAGGATAAACTGAAACAAGTTATATCAACAAAGTTTTTAAGCCAATTCCTACTTTTAGCAATTTTTAAGTTTTTAGTTAAAGTTTTGAATTGAAATTTACCAATATTTTTTGTCTTACAATCTTTTTAATATGAGTATCAAATTAAAGTGTTTGACTAGTAAAGTACACTGTAAAAAAATCCAAAATGGCCGCTATCACAAAATGACTTTATTTTTCACCTACTATTTTATCCTTAAAAGAACAGGACAGGAAGAGAAGGAGAACTTAAGTTTAGCTGAATGATTTTCTTTTAATTTTTTCTAGTTCTTCGTTACTCATGGTTTTATATAGGTATTGAATATATGATGGTAACTTTATGCGCTGATCTAGCTATAGAATTTTCAATATTACGAGAAGATTTACTTCGGGTGAAGCCAAACACAATTAATCCAGAGTTACAATTAACATCGGAAACAGATTTTGGAGGCTACGAAACAGTTTCTATTCAAGATTTTATACGTCGACATCAAAAGCTTATTAGGTATTTATAATGTTTTAGTGAACTGTGTGTGCAGTCACTGTAGTTTTCCACTGTCGAAATACTGGTATCAAAACATATTTTTTACGAAAAAAAGGGAAAGTAATATTGTCTTTTTATATGATCTTTGGTTATAGAAAGAAATGGAGTATCTTTTCATAATCCGATCATTTTTTTTTGGAAGAATTAATTAATAATTTTAAAGATTCTTAATATAATTGTTTTGTTTTATGCTGAAGCTTGGCAGACATATTGGATGATGTATTCAACAAGATTGTTTTCGTTCATATCGTCATCGTGACGATTACTGTGGGATTTTTTGCATTTGCTACCACGGTGAGTTTTTCTAACAATGCATTAATATCAAGCGTTTGTTAAAAATAGTTTTTATAAGACTAAGTTAAATTAAATTTATCAACTCGGTTGCAAAGGTCTTAGTAGTGTTTATAATTTTTTTGATATCTTTTAAAATCAATCTGATATTCGTGTTTTTCTTCAATTTCAGGTGGGCACTGGTATGGTAGGAAAAGCGAACAATATCGTTGGAAGCGTAGCAATATTGTCAACAGCTTATGTTGTGTGTTACTACGGTGAAATGTTAAAAAAAGAGGTCTGTTCGTCTGGATTTTGTGTCCATTTAAAGCTTTGTAGCTATTAAATGATAGCGTTCCTTTCGATGTGATCTTCTTTTGTTTTACTTTGACATAATTACAAATACTCGAGGCATTTAAAGATCATTTTTTTTATATCATAAGGTGGCAAACGAGCGAGCGGTCACCTGAAATCGCTGAAATAGCGAAGCGACCGTTGCCCATAGACATACGCAATTGCGTATGCGTTGCCTACCTTTAATCGACGGAGGAGAGGATGCACAGAAAGATAATATTTTCCCTTTCCATGCATTCTCTCATCCGTAAAGTCCACTTTCACTTCCCATCCTTTCCTTATAAGAAAAAGGGTGGGAAGGGAAAGAGGTCTAATATTTGCCTCCGGGACGCACACTCATCAGACGAAACGCAGAATTGCTTCCACTTCACGCCTGTCTTCTGTGTGGTCGTGGTATTTCACCGGGCGAGCCGGGCCGATTCGCGCGAAGATGTTAAAGCGGGCTCTACCACTGTTAAATCATTACCTACTTCTGTCTTCCTCTTTTTGACGACTTTGCCAGGGTTTTTAAATTAGGATGTTTATTTATATTAAAGTCTATATTTCAGAGTTCGGGTATAGCGGACGCAGCGTATGCTAGTATATGGACCAAGGGAGATATTCGATACCAAAAAATTATATGCTTTATAATAACTCGGTAAGATACGGCAAATATAAGTAGACCTCTTTTTCTCCGAGGCGCCCTTGCGGAGGCGAAGTTTCGTTACAACCCTAGTTTATACTTCTACTAGCTTTCTGCTGTCTATCTCCACTTCTCACGTGCAGGTTTTCCGATGACGTCATTAGTTCAGCGGTAAAGTTTCTGCGCACGAGTAATAATGTCTATTACAATTTTGTACCATTTTAATTGTACTGTTATAATAGAATAATGTATTCGACAGGTCGCAAAAGCCGTGCTGTCTAACATCACTGAAACGAGTGCCTGTTACTCTGAATATGTTTAGTAAGATATATATATTTCTACAAATATCATATAGATATACTTAGGTAACGTACAGGTACCTGTACTGCGTGACCCGTTTAGTGGGGGGAGGGGTTTGGAGTCTTTAAAAGACTACGGTTAGTCACAGTTAAAAAACTTAGAAAAAACTAAGAAAAGGTCACGTAGTATGGGTATGTTCCCTTAAAGGCATTTTTATAAAAAGTATTTTATTTTTCAGATACTGAGTACAACGTGGTCGTATTTTTCATTAATAACAACTATCTACTCGAGTGATGAAAATACAAATTGAGAATACAACGCGTGCACAATAACATGGTAGCCAAGAACTTTTCAAGAACTTAAAAATATTATACAATTCTTTAAACATAATGTATTTTAGCATAAATTTAATAAAGTTAATTTAATTTAATAATAAATTTCTTTTTATCTTACTAATATTATAAATGCGAATGTTTGGATCTATTCAACGGCTGCATGGATCACGCTTAAATTTAGTATAGATATTTTAGCATTAGTTTTAATATAATATTTTAATTAATGTCAACATGCACAAACATTAAGTTGTAGACTTAAATTTGGATACACAAATAAATAAAATATTTTATATTATTTAGTTTTATTTTTAGTTTAGTTTACTTTTAGTATATAGTTTATTTAATTTAGTATTAATTAATTAATTTATTTTGTAATGGTTAGTTATTTAGTAAGCTTATATTTTAATTTATAATTAGGTAAATGATAGTCTTCTTGGTTGAATAAAGGTTTTATCTACTATCAAAAAAAATGTTTATTTCTTTGTCCCATAGCCCTGGTAATGTTATTCCGAATTACTAAATAGATTTGTGGGTATGTGGGTTTGTATATCCATTGCATTGTGAGCGCAATCCTTTAAGTTTAAATTTTAGACAGACGAAGTTGCAGTCGACAGCTAATGCATAAATATATAAACAACGTTTTTTTTTGTCTGTCTTAAGATTAATACTCGCAAGAAAATGGCATCTCCGTATTGTGTGGTTTCATGAAAATTTTTGAAGCATTACTCGTAATTATTTAGTAATAAAATGTTGTTTGTTATACGAACTTTTTTGTGTAAAATAAGTTCGTTAAAAGGCTGTCAATTCTTTCGATCATAATGTTTAATTTCGTGTATATCTTTTGTTTTATTTATAAAGCAAATAGCTGTCGCCCGCGACTCCGTCCGCGCGGAATTTAAATATATAATTAGTAGCTTATGTGTTCTTCCACCCTGTGCTCTACATCTATGCCAAATTTTATTAATATCCATGCAGTCTTTCCAGAGATACCTCAAAATAAACATCCATCCATTCATCCAAACATTCGCATTTATAACATTAGTAAGATGTTCATATTTTTAATGTTTTAATAATGTTAATAAAACAAGAGCATCTTCGGCTCGGGGGTTAAGCACTTGACTTCTGCAGGCCCTGGGTTCGAATCCCGCCATGTACCAACGAGTTTTTCGATATTCGATTTACATATATCCGACGTGCTTACGGTAAAGGAAAACATCGTGATGCAACCTGCACATATTTAAGAAGAAATTCAAAGATAAGTATGTCAACCATCCAGCACTAGGCGAGGTTGACTATGGCCTAGTGACCGCTAACTCAAGGTAGGCTCCGAGCCCTTCAGTGGGTATGTATAGAGAGCTGATGATGTAAATAAAACAAATTAAAATGAGAAGGATATGAAGAATGTTATAACGTTTTAATTTAGTTTTTCCTGTTTTACATACGATACAACATGAATAACAACAAAATTGTTATATAAATTGCTTACAACGTATTGAAGATATAAATTTTATTTTACATTGGAAGCCGCAGTAATTGAATTTTTGATTACATTGTTACGTCAAATTATAGTTATTTGTCTGTGTTTTCAAACTTTATTAAGACATAAACGATTTCAATTTTGTAATTTACTATATGACCTGATAGTTAACAATTCTAAGAAACAAAAGTAACTGGGTTCCGTACGTTTTTTTTTGTTTACCAACCAATAAAATAGTAAGGTCTGTTGCAAGGAAACACTTGTCTCTATCTTATCAAAGAGAATAAAAGGAATGACAAAACTTATTAATACAATTGACGGCCGTGTAGTTGTACTATTACAAAAACTAGAAACATTGAAAATGATAAATTTCAAATACAGCTGATCTCTAAAAATATACAGAGTAATTAAATACAATTAAAGGTATATGAAAAAAAAATCAAGGAATAAAAACACTAGCGTTCCAAAGTCTCGGAACTCAAAAGGATCCAAAATGAACGACATAAATTTTTCGGGACAATTAAAACAATGTTACGACTTATTTAATAAATGTTATATTTATTTTTTTCCTATCAGTAATTCAAAATTTGATAGATATTGGAAACTATGTTGTCTCGCTCCTTTTGTGATTATACATAATATTTCTATGTCGGTTTTTGTATGGAAAATATTCAAGGAGGAAGTAAACATTTCTGAAGTGGCTTTTATGATTCCTGTATACTTAGTTTCTATACAAAGTAAGTTGCATTGAATAGAGCTTCGCTAATATTTTAATAAGTTCCGTATCATTATGATTTTTTCATCATAAAACTCGCCAGACGGATCGATGGTAGTCATCATCATCATCAACCTGCCCTTATCCCTATCGAGGGTCGGCACAGTATGTATTACTCCTCCATACATCTCTATCAGCCGTCATATCCGAGTCTACCCCCTTCCTACGCATATTCTTTTTCACACAGTCATTCCATACTTTTTTTGGTCTTCCTCTACCTTTGTAGCCATCCACGTTCAATCTCATTACTTTTTTGCTTATATCATCATCATACCTCCGCATAACATGTCCAAACCACGCTAATCTTTTACTCCTCAATTTCTCGATTACTGGCGCTACTTTCAAACTTCCTGTAATATACACATTTTTAACTTTATCCTTTCTTGTCACACTACACATCCATCTTAGCATACGCATTTCAGCTACATGCAATCTTCTTTCATCCGAAATAAATAAATAAATGTAGCAAATCTCAGTCCCAGATATCCAGTTTTGCTAAACATGCTATTAAAAATTAATGCTTAAATTATTTACAGTTATTCTAACATCAGTGATTATTCTATCAAAGATATCAGACGTAGAAGACTTAATCAATAATTTAAAATTCCTCAGTGAAACTTCGAACCTAACTGATCAACAGATAAAGAAGAAGAAACGTTTGACAAAGCGTTTAAACCTTTATGTTGCAAGTAAATTTTTTTCCTTTACTTATTTATTGACTTGGCAATAATCGAAATTTTTAAACAAATTATTAAGTCTGCTATTATGTAAACCGCAACACATTTTTATTACCTTGTTTTTTTTAAATATCATAAGGTGGCAAACGAGCGAGCTGTCAATAGACATACGCAAATGCATATGCGTTGTCTACCTTTAATCGACGGAGGAGAGGATGCACAGAAAGAAAATATTATATATATTTCCCTTTCCATGCATCCTCTTATCCGGAAAATCCTCTTTCCCTTCCCATCCTTTCCTTATAAAAAAAAGGTGGGAAGGGAAAGAGGATTAAATTAGGCCTCCGGGCCTCCCAGACTCATCAGACGAAACGCGAAATTGCTTCCACTTCACGCCTATCTTCTGTGTGGTCGTGGTATTTCACCAGGCGAGCTGAGCCAATTCGTGCGAAGATGTTAAAGCGGGCTCTACCATATAATAGTAAAAAGTAATTCTTAATCATACGAAGCCTAATAATTTCTTCTAATGGAAACAAATAATGTCTTGTTTGCAGTGTTTTATTGGAGCGGTACTATTTCGACGTTTCTGCATCTTACAGGGCCGTTGACTTTAGTGCTGTTCCGTCAATTCATCTTAGGACAACACTGTGAATTTGAGCTACCATATGGAGGTGTATATCCGTATGACCTGTCGGACAGTTGGTTCAAATATTTGGCAACATATGCGTTTCAGGTTTACACTAGTATGTTATTATTATTTTCAACTGAATGCTACAAAAAAGCAGTAAACTAGAAGTTAAGAAATCATCTTCAGATTAATTTGCCAAACTTAGGCGAATGAGTTGCCAATGTTGCAAAAGCATAATAACTATATGACGTGAAACCAGAAAGGATTTTCGAACGATAATCAACTAATTTCATAGCGTCTTTTCTGCAATGTCTCTAAGAAGTCGACTGACTTAGTCAATAATAAAAATAATAAAGAAACATAGCCCCTGGTCGAACCTCTGTTAGTAATTATAGTCCTCTAGTCCTCTCCCCTTTCCAGATTTTTAAGGAAGTTTATTTCTTATAATTAAATAATATTTTACAGTGACCTGTGAAGTTTGTGCTCATATCGGTTCGGAAATTTTGATGATAGTACTTTGTGCAAATATAGCGATTGAATTTTCAATATTACGCGAGGATTTGCTACACGCTTCACCACATTTTAAGACGGACAATCCTCGCAATCAAATCGGAATCGGATTAGAAACAAACTCTGAAAGTAAAACGACTACTTCGATTCAGGATTTTGTTCGTCGACATCAAATGCTTATTAGGTATACATTCATTCGTGATTTTTTATGTGAATTTTAAAATGAGTATGATGTTCAACTTATTTAGAAAAAAAATACGCAAATAATTAGATTCTATTGCTAAAATAGATACATCTGAAAAATTATGATTTATATTGTCTTTTGTCTTAAAAACAATATTGATAACAACTTGTTATAAATACTTCAAATAGAAAGAAAAGCTTCAGGTTTTTAGTCATATATTATACGTGTAAGGGAAAGGATTAGTTTCTGTATTTTAATTAAATCCATCACGCTGTTAGTTTATTTGAAAAGGACAATAAGATTATTAGTAAAATGCGATGCTAATATTCTTTCGAACAGAAGCAGTTTGTTCTTTGCTACTGACAATGAGCGACGGAGCAAAGAGCTTTGTCTCAATTAAAGGATTCTTCGCAACAAAAGGAGAGCCTTCGCAGTCTTGATGTTTGACAATAGAAAGAACAGACACATTTATAAAATAGTTTATAGTCTAGCTATTTTAATTAATAGTGAAATTAATTTGTTATTTACAAGTTTGTTTGTGGAAAATATGATTCTTCTAGATATTTTAAGGTTCCAAAATTTACACGATTTTGATAAATTTAAATTTCAGATTAGCAAAGCAACTTGATGACATATTTAACAAAATAATTTTTATGAATTTACTCCTCGTTACTGTGACGGTATGTTTTTTTGGATTGGCAACTATGGTAAGATTTTTTTTAACCCCTTGGGTACGGATTTATTTGAGGAAATATTTGCATGTGGAAAGGAAATAATTTTTGGTTGCTTGGACTAGTATGTAAAGGCAGTACATTTTATATAAGAATGTATTTATTTCTAAAATATTAAAAGTTTAATTTTTGGTTTGACATCTTAGACACGTCATCCGCTCTTTGGGGAAAAAAGTGAATGACGTGTCTCAGACGTTAAATGTACCCAATGAATATAATAATTAATTCTCTTTCGTGGATGTCTATCGACAGCGGTCGCTAAGCTATTGCGACGTATTTAGGTGGCTGGTTGCTAGTTACATCTTGTGATAAAAAATGTTGCATCACGATCTTTTTGTTCATCGTAAGATTATTGGTCCAACTGTAACTAATACCTACGTTCTATAATTATGTTAAATAGTTCCCGCGACTCCGTCTAGCCGAACTATAAAACAACTTAATTAGTAGCCTATGTGTTCTTTCAAACTATGCTCTACAACTAAGCCAAATTTCAGCGTAATCCGTTCTGCTGAGCTGGAGATACCTTCAAACATCCATCCATCTAAATATTATCATTTATAATATTAGTGAGAATATAAGACAGTAAGTATCATTGCAAATATGAAATATCTTATTGCAGGTGGCCCGTGGTGCAGCAGAAACTATGAACAATTTATTAGTAATGCTTGCATTGTTGCTACCAGTTTATGAATTTTGTTATTACGGTGATTTATTGAAAGAAGAGGTTTGTTGATAGTATTTTCGAAATTCAATACTTTTAGATTAAGGGCCCGATACAAATATATATCTTCATATGTACAGCAAAAAAAGAAAAAAAATTACAAGCTATTTTACCACTATTACGTATACATGTTAATTGTTCTCTTTTTTTAGTTACTATTTATTATTAAAAAGTTGTAGGCAATATGAATTGAAACAAATAATTTACCGTGGGTTTCTGTGACTAAAATCCATGTTTTAAACATATGGTTATCTCTGTTTTGATGACATGACGATATGTTACGAGATATATATATAACTTCAAAAAATCCACAGCCAATTATTTTGTCACATTTTTTGAGTGCCGTAAGTTTCTGATATATATATATATATATTTATATATTTATATATATTTATATATTTATATATATCAGAAACTTACGGCACTCAAAAAATGTGACAAAATAATTGGCTGTGGATTTTTTGAAGTTATATACAAAAAAAAACTAAGTAACATTGACAATGTTTACGTAAAAAAATTGTTGATATTAGTGTCTTATTTTCATATTTATATTACAGAGTTTGGGTATAGCTGACTCAGCATATATTAACGAATGGTACAAAAGCGACATCTATTATCAGAAAATGATTCTTTATGTTATATCACGGTAAGTTGGTTTACGTTAATTTTATAATTTTACAGCTCTTAGTTCCATATATTTTTTTAACTTTATTATAATGATGGCATAATAATTTTGTAAACGATTAATGATCAAACTATATCCATTATTTAGTTACTAGTTATTGCACGCGACTCTATCCGCGTGGAATTAAAAATAAACTTAGTAGCCCACTAGCTGTTGCCCGCGACTCAGTTCGCGCGGAGTTAAAACAAACTTAGTAAGTGGCCCATGCATTCTTCCAGACTATGTATATGTGTCAAATTTCATCAAAACCTGTTGAGCCGTTCCGAAGATTTTTTTTTATATCATAAGGTGGCAAACGAACTAGCAGTCACCTGAAATCGCTGAAATAGCGAAGTAACTGTTGCCCATAGACATACGCAATTGCATATGCTTTGCCGCCTAGCTTTAATCGACGGAGGAGAGGATGCACAGAAAGAAAATATTTTCCCTTTCCATGCATCCTCTCATCCGGAAAGTCCATTTCCACTTCCCATCCTTTCCTTATAAGAAAAAGGGTGGGAAGTGAAAGAGGACTAAATTAGGCCTTCGATCGCACACTCAATACCTTCCTTCAAAACAACGTCCGTCCATACATTCGCATTAATAATATTAGTAAGATAAGATGTGATCTTTCAAGCTATGTTCTAAATCTGTGCCAAATTTCATCAAGATCCGTTGAGCCTTTAGATACCTTTTAACATCCATCGATCAATCCTTCCATTCATCTAAACATTCGCATTTATAATATCAGTAAGAATTTTTCCATAGATCACAACGTCCTTGTTGTCTGACGTCATTAAAATATGTACCAGTTACAATGAATCTGTTCACAAAGGTAAGTTCATTTATCTTATACACATTAGGGTACGTTCAGACAGACTGGGACAATAGGGTAGATATTTATCACAAATTAAATTGAGTTTTATACGATTGAAACAAGGTTTAAAATTTATTTACACATCTTTACTTCTCAAAAGCAAGCCTAAAGACTTGAAATGTCAGATTAAACCTTGCTTCAACGTTATAGAGCTCAATTTTACTTACGGGTAAATCTGCTCTACTCTCCGCTACGATCTGTGTGAACGGACTCTTATTAATAATCGATCCGTTTTGAGAGCTGATAGAGATACAATTACCGCTCTAAATCAAGGTATCGGAAACCAATATCCGATTATTTTTAAAAACTGATTATAGTTTTCCTTGCAGTGTGTTATTTTCGTAAGATTTTATTATTCAATGAAACAATTTTAGGTTAATAGGCTTCGCAAGTAAGAATTAATACTATAATTCAACATTTTCAGGTACTCAGCACAACTTGGTCATATTTTTCCTTGGTTAAAAGTATTTATTCGAGAGGCGAATAAATTACCCAAACAATAAAAATGATTAAAAATATGTCATCATTATTTCCAGTCACTGGCAGTTTTAAATAATATTTATTACGTAGTTTAAAAATAAAATTATATTGTATTAAATATTTATTTCTGACCATCTAGAAAGTAAGGTTAATAACTACATAATCAATTTTCCCAAAAAAAAATTAAACAAAAATAAAAAGACCGACACTTGCTTATTATATATCAGCTTATATAGTCTTTTGTTATATGACTCGTCCAACATATTATATTGTACGTACCATTGGGTAGAAAGTGAGAACAAGATTCTGCACTTTTGTACCAACGTCTCACATCAAAGCTTTTAAAAATATTACTATCAGAGATGATATTAACCAATATATCTATTATTAAGATATATCTAAGAAGTTAGCGTCGGTAGCTCAGGGGTTAAGCAGTTGACTTGTAATCTGCAGGTCCTAGGTTCGAATCCCGCTATGTACCAATGTGTTTATTGATTATCGAGTTACTTATGTACATTTATCTGACGTTCTTAAGGTGAAGGGAAACATTATGATGCAACCTACACATATCTGCGAAGAAATTCAAATATATGTGTGAAGTTAACCAATTCGCACTGGGCGTAGTTGAGTAATGCCTAGTCACCCTTAACTTAGAGTAGGCTGCGAGCTTCTCAGTGGGGCGCATAGTAAGCTGATGATGATTATCTAAAAAGTGGTTGATTTGATAGGAGCTGCCTAGAGATTTATAATATTCTGTTCATTGGCATTGTATTGTATAGCCTTTTTCACTAGATTACTAAAAAAGTTTGGTATTTCTTTCATACTGGTGTTACTACGGTGGAGACTCGTCGTAGCATTTTAACAATGTCTACATTTTGCTACGTTTGAGTGCTACGAGAATCGATTGTTTATTTAATTAACTTTTTACTTGTATCGGTTTCTTGAGAGAATTTAGCTTTTATTCAAGAAAATTAAACCTTTAGCTCCCTTAACACATAAATCATATTTATTTCTAGAAAATTAAGTTAACTCCGGTGTAGGAAGCATCTCGTTTTATAGACGGCCGTAAAATTCGAGCTTATCTCGACTGTGCAGATTGTCTTCAAATTATATTTCGACACGGAGACAAAATTTACATTTGACATCGAAGCAAAATTTTATTCATAAATTGATATAAGTTAATAAGGAACAAATGTATTTTTTATCTGTTTAACAATATAAAAAGTGAATAATAAAACTGGCTAAAAAGATTTTTCAATATTAAAAACGTATTTGAATTTCGAATATTAAAAATAATATTCATTGTCTTTTGTTTCAATGATTGTTAATAAAATTAATATTTAACTTAAAAATTGTATAGAAACGAGGATTGCGTTACGAATGAAATCGAATTGCTGAAACATTATAAAAAGTATAACACCGTACCTGGAAAAAAGATAAACTTAACCCGCTGACCCTTTTCTTCCTACACTATTACACGGTATACTTACAAAGTCTACCGGAATTGTTGTGACTTGATTCCTTTTGAATTAATAATCACATTTGAGACAGTTCCATGTCCTCCCGTAAAAACAGATGACACGTATGAATACTTTACCTATAAACCGCATTGAATAAATTGGATTTAAAATATGCATATATCAAAATCCAAAACAACATGCGAGCATCACGGACAAGAGTAAAATCCGCTGAGTGGCACTCCCGCAAAGTGAGCGGGTGTTTGCCGCAAACAAGTGTAAAACATGAAATATGCATATGCCTTTCATTTTCCATTAGCTCTAACACTTTTGTACGGCCTTAGCCTTTAATCGTTAAAAGGATGAAATAGTTTTGTCTATGGTCGTCAGATTAGTATCACTCTATGGTTGATCAATCGATTGCTAAGTGCGTCACTGAAACAGACAAATAATTTAGAGATTAATGATTTAATAATAACTAGATTTTGTTATTCCAAAATATGTTTTACATCTTTTGGAATAACACGTAAGCCATGCCTCATCATCACTATTCAAATTTCATCGAAATCTGTTAAGCCGTTGTGGAGCTACGTAGTAACAAACATCCATGCATTCAAACTGTCAAATTTATAATATTAGTATGATTAGTACAAGTGAACCTACTATCTTACAAGGGACAAAAAAAAGTTTATTTTACTGCAATAAAATATATTTTTTTGTAAATAAATGAAATATAAATAAACTTAACGAGTTTACAATTTGCTTACTTTAAAAGTTTAAAAATTGTAGTTTATAATATACCTAGTCCGAATACAAACTAATATTGATAAATTAAAGTATGATAAAGCTAATATTAATCTAAACTAAATAATATAGATATAACTCAGATTTTAATCTTGTAAAATTAACTATTGCGTGTTATTTGACACGCTTTGTTTGTACCAATTCTTTCCTAAATCTGTTGTTTTATCTATTTCGATACTTCACCGGGTCTCGGCAGGTCAAGATAAAACACGCACGTATCATCGAAAATTTCACTTATGTGTGCTTTCAATTTGAGAAAAAAATATATCTCATATACATAGTTAAACAAGTGTAAGTAATTTTTTTCATACAAGTCAGTGTTAGAGTAGATTAGGGAACATACCCATACTAAGTGACCTATTTTTTTAGTTTTTTCGACCCCTCCCTCCCCTCAGTGACCACTCGTAGTACATGCCAAGACTTGGCATGTACATGCCAAGACACCCCCTTTAGTATTTCATAATTATGATTTTTAATCATTTCACAGGTAAAAATAGAAAAAGAAATAATTTGGCTCATACTCTTCTTTATAGTATATAACTGCATGCATTCTTAAATTACTAGTGAATTTATTTATTATGAAAAAAACAAATAACGACTAAGTGAGTAAAATCTGAGCCCCCCCCCGCTCCTGTGACTGAC